TCAGAGTAATGTGAGATTGCAGCTGCTTCCTCCTTTTAACTGCCAGTGGGGGTGGGACTTGATTGGGTGGGGGCTTGGCTGTGTTCTGATTGGGTGGGGGTGTGTTCTCATTGGTAGGGGGTTTGGCTGTGTTTTGATTGGTTGGGGGGTTAGCCGTGTTCTGATTGGTTGGAGGCGTGTTTTGTTCAGGTGGGGGCTTGGTTGTGCTCAGGTTAGTCTTAGTTGCTGGGGGATTTTTATATATATATATATATATATAAAATTTTAGTCATATTGTTATAATGACATACTATATTTTTTCTCTGTATTTTTTCACTTTTTTATTAAAGCACTTTTTATGGTTTTCTCCCCCTCTTCTGTCTGACAATAAAGTTTGAATGGCTTCAACATATGATAGATCAGAGCAAGCATAAAACTGGGTATAGACAATAAAATATTCAACATCTTTGCATTAAACAGACTGATTGCAGTAGAAACCATTGTATTCCTCTTATACTATAGCTAGGAAATTTAATAATTACCTAATAATTACAGGGGTTTGAATGTAGGCTGTATCTTTTAAAACTTGGTGTGTCCAGGGAACACTCTGGAAGCAAATATGTGAGGATTTTTAAAGATCAGCTTGAGAACTATTTTGTCCTAGAAACCAGGGGACTGAGTTCTAATTCTGCTTTAGGCATGAAAACTGGATGGATGACTTTGGGTCAATCATTCTTTCTCAGTCCAACTCACCTCAAAAAGTTGTTGTGGGAAAATAGGAGGAAGGACTACAGTATTAGGTATATTCACTGCCTTAAATTATTTATAAAAACAATAAAATCAGAATATAAGTATTTTTCCAGTACCTACTGTGGATTTTGCATAAGACAGCATTTAAAAGGCAAAACAACTATAATCACATATCACATCAAGCAATTGTTTGTTCAACAGGGATATAATGAGCAAGCTCACATATTATACTAAGACATAAATCAGGATTTACAGGCCACAAAGTTCACACTTCATTTTAAAACAAAAGGAATCAAGGTAAATGATAACTCACAAAAGCTAAGCTGTTAGTGTTTACAGATGACCTGGCTAAGCTTCTGCTCACTGTATGAATTAGAAATGTTTTCTGAATGTATATTATTGCCAGCCCTGAGAGAGAAGTCAAACAAGAAACATGTACCCAGTCTGCTTAAGAATTAAAGCAAACAATTGTGGAGATGACTTCTTGAAAAACCAAATTAATCAGATAGTGAATATATCACTATGTTTTCTGACTGTGGAAGGCATTGTCCTGCCTACATAATTCTAAGTTCCAACTGTTAACTATTTTAAGGAGTTTATGATTAATATTGTACCATTTAAAGTCATAAGTACATGGCTTTCTCTTTTTAACATATTAATAGGTTGCATAAGGACATGAAAAAAGTGGATGAAAAAAGTGTATCAAGTTTATTTAGAACTCATAATATACTATATGTTAGTATTTTTAAATGATCCAGATTCTACTATAAGAAACATAACAGCACACAGTTGCATATAATTTACAATATAAACTGCATTTCCTCACCTTTCACATAATACAAATAGTTCCAAATTTCCATGGCCACTCAATTCCATAATCTTATTCTGCATCATGTCATCTTTTATATACAGAATTTAAGGATAGACACCATTGAAATTATTTGTGATTATATCTTTAATAATGTGCATTGCAGAATATGAGGAATAGCCAAAACAACCTTTCAGTTTTGCAGTAGATATAGTCTCAGTAATTTTATAATATGAAAAAAATAGATAATTGTTTGTATTCATGTTTTGAAGCTATGTTCTCCACATCAATGAAGCCAAGGTAGCTTTTCTGTACAGTCTTCTTTTTCAATTCAGTCCTCAGGCAGAGGATCACATGGTTTCTTCAATGTTTGAGCTATTTAGGAATTCCTCTGAGTTCATTTATTAGCCACACAGCCATACTGAGCAACATCAAAGAACCTGACTGATGAGTAGCTGCTAAAGGAGTTGGGACGTACAGAAGTAATGTGCTGATACCCAGGGTGACCTGCAACGGAGCAAAAATATCAGTGCTGAATCAGGTATAACATTAATGTATATAGCATGCTTTACAAATGTTCAGAAGACCTTTGTATCTGTTGATCTTACCTTTGTATACTGTATAAACAATACCAAACAACTTTATAATGAGAGGATTTAGTGATGGATTACATATGACAGCTTAACTTCCTGCCAGGATTTTAATGTCTGTGATTTTTAATGGATATATATGTGTGCGTATTATGCTGTATTATTATTTATTATTGTTTTAATTGTTGGTTGGGAGCCACCCAAAGTTTGATGTAAGATAGGTTTGATATAAAATATTATAAATAAGTAAGTAAGTAACTTCTGTTACTCACTCTCTTACATTCTTTACACTCTTACAAGTGCAAGAAAAAGGAACAACTGCAATAGTAATCCATCCCTTGCTTCATGAAATAATGCTTACATAGCTTCACCTTTTCTGGCAATTTCTTCCATTATGATATGGCAAGGCTATTTGTCTGTCTGTTTCTAGCTCAAAGCTATATGAAAAAAGCTGGTCAGTATGCTGTCATGGTTGCTATTAACTATATTTAAAATCCCTGAATCAATAATCCAAGATAAATCAGTTTAAGTGCATAGGCATCTTAATAAGTGCATATGACAGTTTATCATTTAGCCCACAGAATACTATTTCTCTGCTAGCTGGAATTTAAACGTGTACATTAATGAGAAATCAATACCTGAAGATATGCTACAGTCAATAAGGAAGCAAATGCCATTCTAGTTCTACGTGGGAGGGAGATCTTCCTGGAAAGTAGATAGAGAATTGTGATGGCTGCAACTGAGGAAATGCCCTAAAGAGAGAAAGAAAAATTATTAAAATATCTTCCAACAGCATCATACAAGCCATGGGAAGCTCCATTTTACAAAGCAAACCATCTTGCTTTCATCAGGAGGCAAACGGGTAGGAGAACAAGCACTGGGTATACTAGCAATTTTCAAACCCTGCCTTCTCCTATACCTTATACTAGGTCAACAGCAGTTCTTGAGATTTAGATTATAACTCTACTATTGTGGCCTTATTTTTGTAATTTTTATATTCAAATCCTCTTAATGGGCAAGTTTCCAAAGATTATTGTAGTAAATTTGCAATAATCTTGTTTCAATGGATCATGCAAGCTTCAAAACTGACCCAAGATTTTTACTGTTTTAACAAAAATGAACTTTCTGACCATACCTGGAGCAATTTTTAAAATTATAGATAGCAGGAATTGAAATTAATATCTTAGGTATGTGAAAGCTAACACTCAATCTAAGCTGGTAGAATTCATTCCCATAACCTTAGGGTTTTTTTGAGTATTTTTTAAAAAAACTAATCAGCTAAAAAACATCATAGCATAAACGTGATGATGCATACCAGGATTCTGTGATCAAACTGCACTGTTGTGGGATTCTCAAATATATTCTTTGTCATTGGGGAAAAAGCGAGGAGATCATCAGGTATCCAGCGTTCCCCCATCTTTGGAAAGGAATTATACACAAGACCAGCATCTAGTCCAGCAACAAACGCTCCTAAAGTTTCAGAGAACAGAGACTGACATACTTGAAGGTAGATTTTCAATAAGATTTAAAAGTTTTCAAGATTATAAGTTATTATCCCTACACCATATAACATTTCTTAGCTCTGTGTACTCTCCTTCAGGAAAAGGGATTTAAGAACTTCTGTGTCACAGAAAAATGCAAATCTTATCATGGACCTGATGAAGCAAGGTATTACAATAGATGCATTTTTCTTATCTCCCCCTATTCCCCACCTCTAAATTTAAGGCACCAATGACAGAGACGTTTACCTGAGAGGGCAGTGAGAAAGATGAGTCCTGTTGTCCCATAAGCAAATTTTCTCAGGCGTAATAGTTGGCGGATTTTAGGTAGCTGCCAAAACACAAATACATTAGTATATGCTATAACCCTTTCAAATATTCTATCTAAAAGATCTTACAAAAGTAACATATTTTCTGATTACATTCCCCATCTCTGCCTCCTGTCTAAGCCTATATAGGACATATCTTGTAAGGAATCTTGTAAGATGGCCACGCATTCACATGCTGCAGCTCAGTGCTCTTCAACTTGGTGTTTTTTATGGATGTTTTTGTGTGGATTATCTTGTATTGTGAATACCTCCTGCGGGGTGAACATACTCTACAGCAATTGTGAGCTTATGAAGATTGGACTGCAGTGTAAACAAGAGATAACAGCTAAGTTTGTTTGGAAACATAACATACCGTCAGAGATTGCAAGGCTCCCTGGCTCTCTGTGGATTGTGGCTCCAGTGAAAAGGAAAAGAAGACGAAGAGAAAGGGGCAAGAAAAGAGGCTGCAGGGCTGGTGCAAAAACAAACGAAGTACAGGCTGCAAAAACAAACGAAGCGGCTACCGCTCCCAAGCCTCTTTCTGACTAATGCTAGATCCGTGGTAAATAAGATGGATGATTTAAGGCTACAGGTCTCTTCAAGTAAGTTCGTGAAAAGCTGTTGTGTGTTGCTAATCACCGAAACCTGGTTGGACCCCACTATTCCAGACATTGTTATTGAGATGGACGGTTTTTTATTACATCGTCTGGACAGAGACAGAAATGTGGGGAAGTGTAGAGGAGGTGGAGTGTGTATGTTTGTTAAAGAGACTTGGTGTAAAAACTCAGAGGTTATAACATGTCACTGCTCTTTGGAGCTGGAATATCTGTCTGTTAGATGCAGACCCTTCTACCTTCCACAGGAATTCAGCATTGTTATTATTCTTGCTGTTTACATTCCGCCAGACGCAAATGCAGATTTGGCTCTGGGCTTCCTGGGTGATGAAATTGGCAACTTGCAAAGCAAATTTCCAGATGCTGTATTCATTATTGCAGGAGATTTTAATCATGTAGATCTTTGTGTGATCCTCCCTAAATTCTATCAACATATAAGGTGTGCAACTAGGGGATCGAACACCTTGGATAAGGTCTACACGAATATTGTAAATGGATACAGGGTATTACAACTACCACATCTGGGCCAGTCAGATCACTTGTCTCTGCTTTTAGCCCCGGAGTATATTCCTCTGAGAAAACAGGCGGGGTCGGTAGTCAAGACGGTGAAAAGCTGGCCAGAGGGAGCAATGGAGCAGCTAAAGGACTGCTTTGAATGCACAAACTGGGAAGTTTTTGATCATCCTGATCTCAACGAACACACGGCTGCAGTGCTAGGGTATATGGCACACTGTATTGATACTGTCACGGTGGATAAACGAATCCGGGTGTATCCTAATCAAAAACCTTGGATGACCGGGAAGGTTAGACGCTTGTTGTACGCAAGAAATAAGGCTTTTAAGTCTGGGAATGATCTAGATTATAGTGCTGCAAGAACAAACTTGAAGAGAGGTATTAAGCAAGCTAAGGCCGAATATAAGAGGAGAATTGAAGACTGCTTTCTCAGTAATAACATGAGGCAGGTTTGGCAGGGGGTTCAACAACTAACGAACTATAAAGCAAAAAAGGTCTCTTTGGATGGTAGTGCGGCGGTGGTTGAGGAGTTGAACAATTTTTTTGCTCGATTTGAGATCCATCAAACTGAAACTGTCCCTTTGCCATCATTTACTCAGCAGAGCCTCCCCTTCATTGTGAATGAGCAGGATGTGAGGCAGACAATGAAGGCGGTTAATTCCAGAAAGTCAGCTGGGCCCGACTCAATTCCTGGTCGTGTGGTAAAAGATTGTGCTGATCAGCTAGCTGGGGTGTGGACTGAAATTTTTAATCGATCCTTGACACAAAGTGTGGTTCCTGTGTGTCTCAAGGCTTCCACCATCGTTCCACTGCCTAAAAAGTTGCCCACAAATGGTCCTAGCGACTATAGGCCGGTGGCACTAACTTCTCTCTTAATGAAATGCTTTGAGAAGCTAGTTCGAAATTATATTATCTCCTGCCTTCCTGATTCCTTTGATGGGCTTCAGTTTGCTTACAAAGAAAATAGATCAACCGAGGATGCAATTATTACTGTGCTTCACATGGCCTTATCCCATTTGGAAACACCGGGGAATTATGTAAGAATGTTGTTCGCAGATTTTAGTTCTGCTTTCAATACCATCATACCACACAGATTAATAGCCAAGCTCAAAGATCTAGATTTTCCAGATTCTATTTGTTTATGGATATTGGATTTTTTAACAAATCGTCCACAAAGAGTTAAACTGAATGATTATATTTCTACTGTCAAGACACTTAGCATTGGCACTCCGCAAGGTTGTGTCCTTAGTCCACTACTATTCTCCATTTATTCATCTGATTGCACAAATAAACATCCCAACAATAAGATAATAAAATTTGCAGACGATACTACGCTTGTAGGACTTATTTCTGGGGATGATGAGTCTGCATATCGGGATGAGGTATTACAGCTATCCCACTGGTGCAAAAATAATAATCTTCTATTTAACATTAAGAAGACAAGGAGGTTATAGTGGACTATAGGAAAAAAAGAGCAGACCTTCAGCCACTGTATATAGAGGGAGTTCGTGTGGAACAGGTGGTTGAATGTCAGTATCTCGGGACCATCATTACAAATGACCTGACCTGTAGTGCAAACACCGCTGCTTTAATTAAGAAGGCACAACAACGGTTGTATTTACTAAGGATTCTTAGGAAACAACAACTGGCTGAGAGTCTACTGACTACCTTCTATCGGAGTTCAATTGAGAGTATATTATCCTACTGTCTCTGTGTATGGTTCTCGAGCTGCACAGTGGCAGAGAAAAAGGCAATTCAGAGGGTGATTAAGATGGCCCAAAACATCATTGGCTGCTCACTCCCCTCTTTGGAAGAACTGTATAGGAATAGATGTAAGAGGAAGATATTTAATATATTGAATGACTCCTCTCATCCGGGACATCAGCTCTTTGAACTATTACCATTGAGAAGGAGATTCAGGGTATTAAGAACAAGGACGACTAGATTTAAGAACAGTTTTTATCCAAGTGCAGTTTTGAGTTTGAATGCAGGGTCATAAGATTTTTGTGGAATTTAATGGCTGAGAGTAATGGGGTATTTACATTTTTAAATTGTATAGAGATTATTGTATGGTCTGTTGTGTTTAATTTTATTTTTCTTTCAATGGTGTTGTCCAGTTTTACTTGTGGAAGAGCACCTCATTTTGTTGCACCCGCTTGCGAGTGTAATGACAAATAAATTCTTATGTCTTATCTACCATACCTCTTCCCTATTCCAAATGCAAACGTTGCTTAGGACTATGGCTATACTCAAGATACAAGTCCTATATTTTACACACCTTATGTTGTGGTAGCAACAAGGATAGCCCAGTCCACAAGCTGTAGCAGTAAAGAACAAGAGCAGATCCCAGATGTGCAGTTAAACGATACTGACTGACCCGAGGGATATCGTGGGAATCTGGCTTCTCCTCTAATCCACTTTTCACCATATACCAGCCCAAAAGACCCTGTAAAAATAACAAAATAATTATACTGAAACAAAGTTCATTTCTTTTCCTGCTAATATATTACATGCAATTTTCAAACAGAGATCCATGCAAGTAGAGCTTTGTGTACAAACACTCTCCGCTTGCATGAGTGGAGCTTCATGCACGAATATAAGGGACCACCATTCGTGTGAGTGGAGGACACACCACTTGCACCAATGGAGCTGTGTATGCACCTGCCACTCACACACACACACACACACACACACACTGGGCTAGACCGCCAAGGTGGAAAGGTTGGGGACTGCTGCTCTAGGTCACATTGGTTAAACAATGACATCATGTGTAACCCAGGAAATTGACTTTCTTTGTGGTCTGCCTTCTGGAATGACTTCCCACCAAAGATCCATGTGGTTTTTAACTTAAGGATCTTCAAGAAACTATAAAAAAACTTGGCTGTTCTCCCAGGCCTTGGAGTAGGTTGATTGTGGAATCCCTAATGTTTGGGGAGGTTGCTTCCGAGTTAGCCTTGAATTGAATTTAAATAAATAAACAACAGGATATGTTCACAGCCTGATCCAC